CCAGGCTGCTATAGCAGTGGAACAAAAATAAGTAATCACAAATCAATTTACAATTCGGTACATTGTAAGTTCTAGGGTACTCTCTGTTTACACACATATGAATTTTGGAAAAAGATCATTTCGATTTTGAGCAATAAGCCTCAGACAGTCTCAAATTATCAAACAATACTTAGAAACACCATGATTGCTGTTGTACCAAACTGTTAATGCACATGCAATCCAAAGCACATGATTTGTTTTTGTTTTTCTTTTTCTCGAATCTCAATATTCTGCAGAAATGTGTACATTGACTTCAAGATTGTTTATCCTTTTTGGACTATGCCAAAAGTCCAGTGTTTCTATGTTGGGCAAGCAGAGATTTTGAATTGCGATGGGCCCCCAGATAATAGAAATATGTTTCTATAGATGGAAGTAAGATGGCAGTTAAGTGGAAGAAATGGGAGACAGCCACACTTCGTTGAAAGCAGAATGGGAAGGAAACATGAGGAAGAGATGAATGCTGGAGTTTTGTAACAAAGCCTACAAAAAGCTTAAATTATTGCTATATTTATTTTAAAAATGTATATTGCCATCTACCCGCACATGGCGACTTACAAGGATATAAAAACACCATATAAAAGAAATAAAAAGAATAAAAAGAAAAATAATAAAATAATAACACCCCCCCCCCCCCCCCATGCCAGTCACAACACATATTCATCTAGCCATTTAATGGGCTCCATCCCACTCTGGATTCCCCAGGCCCCACTGGCAGAACCATGTCTTCAGGGCCTTCCGAAAGAGTTATTTATATAGGCTGAGGGTCATGGTTTATTAAAAATAAGAGCTGCCTGGGAGTTGTTTAACATTCATTTGTCAATAAAGCAACTATTGGGTAAGGTCAAAATAGATTTGTGTTCCGTTTGGACCTGACTTCTAACTGCTAAAGACTACCCAGGGTAGATTTGTGAGCGCAGTAGTTAGAATGTAGTATTGCAGGCTACTACTGCTGACTGCTGGCTGACTGCAGTTTGGCAGTTTGAGTCTCACCGGCTCAAGGTTGACTCAGCCTTCCATCCTTCCGAGGTGGGTAAAGTGAGGACCCAGATTGTTGGGGGCAATATGCTGTCTCTGTAAGCCGCTTAGAGAGGGCTGTAAAGCGGTATATAAGTCTTAAGTGCTACTGCTATTGCTGTTCTCTTTCCCCTCCACCTTCTTTCTCATGTTTTTCCTCCACACAGACTAAATATATATCATATAAACATATATGTAAATATCCTTTGAAATCCATGATTCATTTTGAGTTTATAAAATATTCTTCAATTTGGTATTTATGGAAGTGGCACGCACATTATTAACTGCACTCTAGATAAAGCTGAAATAAGCTTTTTGATGTGTGTTATGCTTCACTTTTCCTTTTCAATCTTCTTTCTTGGCATGTACACTCTGCATGAAGCATTTTGGCTTCTTGTTCACTAAAGTTGCTGCCTTATTTAATCATGTTTCCAGCCAATATGGAGAAGGGCCCTGGAGTATTTCAGACTGTAGAACATTAAAAGGGCATTATGTCCTCCATTCACCTGCAGAGTAAGGTGACACTGATCATGTAAAACATGGAATCAGAGGGATCAGCTGGAAATGAACCAAATAAAGTTCATTTACCCTGTATTGCTCCATTATGTTTCTGCTTTCTTTGGTACAAGGTGAGGTTTGGGAGGATTGCATTTTAATTAGATTATCCAAGCTGCTGGACTCTTAAAAATTGTAGTTTATAGCCACTGTTCTACATGCCTCTCTGCTGACAGCTCAGGTGTTCAGTAACTGGGGATGGAGAGCATTACATCTTCTATCAAGCTGAACTTATCTTACAGCATTACAGATAAACAAATACCCTAGATACCTGCATTACACACCCAAATTGTGCTTTCTGCTGTGATAACATCTGGAAATTAGTATATTGCAAGCTTAGCCTTCTGAAAATTGTTCCCATGTCCTCTGCTTTAGTATTATATCAGTACAAAACTTTAAATGCACAAAATTGGCGTGCCTCTAAGGTGACAGTCACCCATTTGTTCTTATAGTCTCCATTACCTATTCTCCTACTTCTCCAGTAAAGCGTTAATTCATCTTCCTCCTCCTCGTTTTTCCAGATATAATTTGTAGTCCACAAAGAAATAATTAGGAGTAAATACAGAAGATGCTTACATATATATATAAAGAGACAGAACTGCTTTCTAAGCAGACATAATTCTCTCATGTCAGCAGGAAGGCTCCCAACGAGAACTCATAGGGAATGTCTCACAGAGTGACTAATAGTGTTTCATTGTTAGGACAGATAGAATTGAGCTATATTCTGAATAAAATATGCCACTTCGGAATAAACCATCCCTCATTCCAATCAAGTTGGATAACTTCCACATAATCTGCATCCTTATTTTTAAAAGAAGATTTTGGAGACCGTGATAGAGCATCAATTGCAGGGTATCAATTGCAAGTAAATTATCTGTTTCAGCCAGGCTTAGTGGCTGGCTATGGAAATCATTATTTTTTTTGCTCTTGTGCATGAGTTTTGTCAGGATCTGGCTGGAGTGTACATCTCCTAGATCTTATAGAACACTCAACAGTGTTCCATACCATCAACCTGCTGAACTAACTGCAAGAGGTGCTGCTTGATGCCCCTGTTTTGCAATGGTTCTATTCAGTGGTGGGATTCAAGTAATTTAACAACCGGTTTTCTGCCCTAATGATTTCTTCCAACAACCAGTTTGCCAAACTGCTCAGAAAGTTAACAACCGGTTCTCCCGAAGTGGTGCGAACTGGCTGAATCCCACCACTGATTCTACTCCTTCCTAAGCAAATAGTTCTAAACAATAATGATGGGGGATCAAGAGTCTCTCAGGGCTCTACCTGGAAACTTCAACTGGTATAGAATGGTTGCATGAATGCAGGCAGATACTGTAAAGAGTGGCTTAAACACTGATAGCTACATTATGAGCACAACAGACTCCAGATGGCTCAACTCCCTACTACCTTTGGAGGTACTTTCTCCAGGCAGAATCTACCTGTCTTTGTGTTCAATCAAGGTGAGTATGCTGTGGATATCCCCTCCCATAGGTTAAACAGTTGGCAGCTGGGAGGTAGGTTTTCTCAGTAGTCAACCCATCCTTATAGAAAAAAATCTTCCCCCAGAAATTAGTATTCCTGAAAGTAGTGAAAAGTATTTGAGGCTTGCATTGCTGACTTCTAGACCATGTTTTTTCAGATATACTTAGTCTGTAATTTTAATTTTTAATCCTAATTTAATGGTTAAATCTACTTAATTTTAAGTATTCAAATTTTATCTGATATTTCATTTGCTTACTGTGCTATTTGAGTAGTCTGTTGTGAAGACTGTCAATTGTCCAGAGTCCTTTAAACAGGATGGGATATGAATCATTTAATAAATAGAGAAACCAAACTAGGAGAAATAGAGCAAACCAATAATATCTAGATTGTTCCAAAGTTGCGAAGGGATGGCACACTGAACAGTCCTTTTACAAAAACAAACTTTGGAACAAAAGTACCATTCATGATTAATTTTAAATGACAATTTAGTGTTTATTATCTCGTTTGAATGATTACAGAATAAACAAATGCTGTGGGAGGGGGAGCAATAATCATTGCTCAGTAGGAGCAGTAATGAGCAGTGGTGGCTAGTGGTTAAAATAAAGTGTTACAGGCTAATTTTGCTGACTGCCTGCAGTTCGATTCTCACCGGCTCAAAGTTGACTCAGCCTTCTTTCCTTCTGAGGTCTATAAAATGAGGACCCAGATTGTTGGAGGCAATGCTGACTCTGTAAACTGCTTGGAGAGGGTTATGAAGCGGTATATAAGTCTAAGCACTATTGCTATTGCAGAGGGGGGCACCATCTTTTTTAGCTTCTCCTTTTTAATTAATAGAAAAAGAACCTAACTCACTCTTACTTCCATTAGTCACTTTTTCCATCAATAAGAGCAATTACTTCTTCAAAATCACAAATTAGCACTATTAATATATTGTGTACTCTTTCAAATTTAAAAGTGGTATGACTTCTCTAATTTTTCAAAATGGACAAATGTAAATGCAATGTGTAATGGCTTCTTTTGAAACAAAATGATCTGTGATCTCTGGGGGTGCGGATAAGTAACAATCTGAACTGGTCATCCACACATGATCCTTAGTGAAGCGTGCAAACCAGTGTCTTCATTTCCTGCAGCGGATGAGGAGAGCACATCCCTCTCCTCCTGTCCTGGCCACTTTTTACAGAGACACAATTGAGAGTATTTTAACAAACTCCATCACTGTTTGGTTTGGTGGCTACAGTCCTCAGAGAGAAAGCCCATTCAGGGAGTGGTAAGGACAGTGCAAAAGATTATAGGAAGCTTGCTTCCTGTAATTCAGGATATTGCTTATAAGCGCTATGTGCTTAGAGCTCAAAGGATTGTTAGAGACCCCACTTTATGATATGTTTCTGTTGCTCCCCTCTGGGAGGAGGTTTTGAAGTATTTCTAGCAGGACTACCAGATTCTGTAACAGCTTTGTTCCCTATGCCATCCATCTGGTAAACTCACAAGATTCGTTTTTCTCGCCATGTACATGTATACATCCAAACTAGCCTGTGTTGTTTCTCTTTGTCATATAATATATGTGAGTAATATATATATACTGTATTATATATTATAGAATATAATACAACATAGAATGTGTGTGTGTATGCATAATTTTGTATTTATTTATTTTGTCATGTTTATGTAGTATATATTGGAGGTGGAAATGACAGCTTTGGCAGCTTTGACAGCTGTATGCAACAAAATTTTTAATGTATGCTGATTAGTGTACATTCAAAGTGACAATAAAGCTATTATTCTGTTCTGTGTTCTGTTCTGTTCTGTTCTATTCTATTCTATTCTATTCTATTCTATTCTATTCTATTCTTCTACTTTACGTATGCAAAGAGAAGCAACTGCTTTGAATTAACACCTTTTTGTTCCCCTCTTCACAGCCACAGGGATTTAAAGCCAGAAAATCTACTACTGGATGAAAAGAACAATATCCGAATAGCAGACTTTGGAATGGCATCATTGCAAGTTGGGGACAGTTTACTTGAAACAAGCTGTGGGTAAGTTGTATTAAGAGCTTAAATCAATAAGCTAGAATGATATTCCAAAATCATCAGGCCACAAAGCATTTAGCCAATAAATTGTAGAATAACTACACACTGAGAAGTAACAAAAAAAGAGCCACAATCTACTTTTTTTTTTCAAGAAGTCTCTGATTGATCAACAGAGGAAACCAGATTATGAATCAGACAATAGATCTGTAGCGTCCAACAAGAAATTGTAATGAGCACATTAGCTCTTCAGACTTTTTATTCCTCCTAAGGGAAATAGAGTTAGTCCTTGACTCACAACCTTTCATTCAATAACTATTCAAAGTTACAACAGCGCTGAATGAGGGGGACTTACGATATGTCCTTCCATTGTAGCTTCTCCGCCATCATGTGATTTTACTTATTTATTTAACATATTTATATAGTCACCATCTTTTAACCTGGGTGTTTCCAAAAGGAAAGCTAAAACAACATATAAAATTAAACAGATGATTCATTTATTTAAAACATTTATATAGCTGCTCATCTTTTACTTTTTTTCCAGCGAGGATAGTATAGGATAGGATGGGATGGGATGGGACGGGGCAGGAAAAACATCATATAAGTTTTCTTTTTAAGTAAACCTTTCCTTTTTATATTTAAAGATATAATATATGCTGTGGTGGGATCACCCTAACACTAACTTTTAAAAACATGCAGTTTAGCTCTTGAAAACATCCCCCTAAAAATACCTACACTTGGAAAGTGGAACTGTTAAATATACTATTAAAATGTCCCCAGATTTTAAAAAAGTAATATTTTTCTAAGTGTTTAGACTGTTTTAGAGATAGACTAGAATAGACTAGACTAGACTAGACTAGACTAGACTAGACTAGACTAGACTAGACTAGAATAGAATAGAATAGAATAGAATAGAATAGAATAGAATAGAATAGAATAGAATAGAATAGAATTTTATTGGCCAAGTGTGATTGGACAAACAAGGAATTTGTCTTGGTGCATACGCTCTCAGTGTACAATGACAGGTTTCTATTCAATGGTGTATGGTTTTTCTATTTATGGAACCTTCTATATGCTGCCACCACCTACTGGAGAGAATAAATAACAACATTAGTGATTGTTATAATTCTGTAGGTTTAAGAAGCATTTGCCAAAGAAAAGTATTTTTATGTGTCACAAATTTGGGGAATCTGAAAGACGTCAGTAAGATTTATCAGCTCATTAAAAGTTTATTCATTTATTTATTATTTATTTATTTATTATATTTATATTCCGCCCTTCTCCCGAAGGACTCAGGGCGGTGAACAGCCAGGATCAAATACATAAATATAAAAGTTAAAAACAATTTAAAACCAGATTAAATACTTTGGCCCACAATTAAAACATCCCATTAAAATCCAATTTAAAATTTAAAACCGTTAAAATTAGGCTAGCCTGGCTTGCTGGAATAACAAAGTCTTCAGGGCACGGCAGAAGGTGCGCAAGTCCGGGATCCTCTGTACCTCCGGGGGCAGCTCGTTCCAGAGGGCAGCAGCCCCCACTGAGAAGGCTCTCCCCCAGGGGGTCGCCAGTTGACATTGTCTGACCGATGGCACCCTGAGGAGCCCCGCTCTGTGGGCGCGTACTGGCCAGTGGGAGGTAGCAGAAGGCGGTCCCGTAAAAGCCATGGAGCGCTTTAAAGATGTTAATCAACACCTTGAATCGCACCCGAAAGACCACTGGGAGCCAATGCAGCTCGCGCAGGAGAGGTGTTACATGGGAGCGCCCTGCTGCTCCCATAATCACCCGCGCGGCTGCATTTTTGACCAGCTGGAGCCTCCAGATGCTCTTCAAGGGGAGCCCCATGTAGAGAGCATTGCAGTAGTCCAGTCGGGAAGTGATGAGGGCATGAGTGACCGTGCTCAGGGAGTCCCGATCCAGAAAGGGACGCAACTGGCGGATCAGGCGAACCTGATAAAAAGCCCCCCTGGCCATGGCCGTCATATGCTCTTCTAAAGACAGCCGCGCATCCAGGAGGACACCCAAGTTGTGAACCCTCTACTTGAGGGCCAATGACTCACCCCCAATAATCAGCGATGGCACCAGCTGGCTATATCGGGATGCCGGGAGCCACAGCCACTCAGTCTTGGAGGGGTTGAGTCGGAGTCTGTTTCTCCCCATCCAGACCTTCACGGCCTCCAGGCACCGGGACATCACTTCAAGGGCATCATTGGGGTGGTCTGGGGTGGAGATGTACATCTGAGTGTCATCAGCGTACTGATGGAATTGCACCCCAAAACCACGGATGATCTCATCCAGTGGCTTCACATAAATGTTGAACAGAAGGGGCGAGAGAACCAACCCCTGTGACACCCAAAAGTTATCTTGACTTGAGATGGGTTATAAGTATCAATAAATAAAGTATATTTTCATTACTGATGTTCAATTTATTTTTCTTAGCTGCACATTTTTAAATTGGAATAAATTTTGTGAAACAGAAATGGAGTGTGGAATCTGGGACTTGGATTTGTAGCATTTGAAATGCTAACTAATGCACATTTGAATTGCCCCTTCATTAGGGAAGCATTTTAAACTTCAAGCTTTTCATTTATTATATGTAACATGACAGGAAAAGCTGACATTGTCTGAATCACATTTCTGAATTTTGTCAGGAAACCACATCTATGATCCTGCCCCCTGTTATGTGCCTTCTAAAAAGATTTATTGTATTTACTGTGCAAATAATTCAAAATTACCAATGGGTATGTGTGATTACTAAGAAGAGAAGATATTAGCAATTGGCTTTATTATTTTTGTTAGATGAGTTGATCGGTAATTGATGGTAGTTTAGAGCAGTGTTTCTCAACCTTAGCAACTTTAAGTGGTCTGGACTTCAACTCCCAGAATTCCCCAGCTATCCCCATGGAATTCTGGGAGTTGAAGTTCACACATCTTAAAGTTCCGAGGTTGAAAAACACTGACTTAGAGAATAGGGCACAGTTATGATGGGAGTAAGGGAGAAAGAAGAGCCACTGATTTTGGGTGCATTCTATTACAAGGTCTCAATTCACAAAAAAGTAGAAATATGCTTCAGTTAACAACCTCTGCATATTGATATGGAACTTTAAAAAATTAAAAGAACACAAAGAAAACTGGTTTTCATTTATGTTGTATTACAAAGCCTTCAAGTATCCTTGAGGTCATGAAGAGAATTAATATAGAAAAAGGGTCCTTCAGATCATGTATGTCCTTCACATTAGAGCATGGACAACAAGCAGTCCTCAGAGTCCCTTCAAAGCATACCCTTGAAATTTAGTTACAAACTGATAAAAAGCAGCAGCATGATATTCTGCTTTAGGTAGGGTGGCAGTAAAACCCCAAGTAAAATAAGTGGGTTAAGCCTCTTTCATCTTTAAACCCTCTCTTCAGCAGGATTTAACAGGGCTGAAAATTGCCCTTCCACTTCATCTGCTGATATGATTGCATCATCACATCTCCTGCAGTCCTCAGTTACTGAAAAAGAAAGATTAAAAAAAGAACACTTGTGGCTGCGATGGAATTGCTAGCCAGGCTTTAGAGTGTGTAAAGACATGGGATTCGTAAACTATAGAGTAGCGATTCTCAACCTTGGCCGCTTTAAAATATGTGGACTTCAAATCCAAAAAGTCCCCAGACATCTCCAAGGAATTCTGGGAGTTGAAGTCCACGTATATTAAAGTTGCCAAGGTTGAGAAACACTGCTGTAGAGCTCCCTTGCATTCAGAATTTATTTATTTGTTTGTTTGTTTGTTTGTTTGTTAGATTTATATTGCCGCCTATGGCCCATGGCGACTCAAGGCGGCTTACAGAATGTAAAAAACCACATTTAAAAAACTAAATCTGATTAAAAAATTAAATAAATTAATGTAATAAAATCACCCCTGACCCGCACCTCCCACCCCAGTGACAGCTGATCACACAAGCCATTTATTGGGCTCCATCCCGCTCTGGTTCCCCAGGCCCGCTGGCAGAACGAGGTCTTCAGCACCTTCCAGAAGAGAATTAGGGTGGGGGCCATTCTAATCTCTGGGGGAATGATGTTCCAGAGAGAGGGAGCCACCACGGAGAAGGCCCTTCTTCTGGGTCCCACCAGGTGTATCTCCCTCGGGGATGGGATCCGCAGCGTTCCCTGCCTCCCCGCTCTAATGGGTCGGGTAGATGTGACCAGCAGGAGATAACCTCAGATAACCTGGTCTCAAGCCATGAAGAGCTTTAAAGGTGACAACCAGCACCTTGAATTGCACCCGGAATCAGCAGCCAATGCAGCTCCCACAGGAGAGGTGATATATGTGCATACTGGGCTCTGCACAAAACCGTGCAGGCAGCTGCATTTTGCACCAACTGGAGCTTCTGTAAATTTCCTTTACGGTGTATATAATGTAGAAGCAATTGTTCTCTCAGGTTGGATGGAAAAGAAGGCTATTTGGGGGAAATGATTGATTTACAAGATACAAGAGGGCTACTTTTCTGCCACTCTTTTTCTTCTGCTCAAAGGCCCCTTTGTGTCAGCAGTCTAGTACAATTAATCAAATTGCTGGTGAGGGGAAGGAAAATTTACTTTTATTTATCCTGCTTCTAACATCCCACTGTTTTTTGGTGCTTTGAATTTATTTGATTGGTGTCTAGAAACCAAGCTTTTGCTATCCTCTAGAAAAACCTTCACTCTCTCCTCTCCAACCAGCTGACCAAAGGATGGGAATCTTGCCCTTTTTTATTCTTTTTTTTTTTTCATGTTTATTGATTTTGTTGCAATTACTTTGTTGAGAGCCGCCCAGAGTATTTGACAGTCAGGAGGAAGCATACACATTTAATAAATTATTATTCTGAGAGCTGTAATCTAAGTCTAAGGTAAAGGTTCCCCTCGCACATCTGTGCTAGTCGTTTCCGACTCTAGGGGGCGGTGCTCATCTCTATTTCAAAGCCGAAGAGCCAGCACTGTCCGAAGACATCTCCGTGGTCATGTGGCCGGCATAACTAAACGCCAAAGGCGC